TGAAGTGCTTGATAAAACCTCAACATGGCTCCCAGACAGACTTTCCCTGAAGCGGGAAACACAGAAGTAGTCCAGAAAGAACATAATCCTTAGGTTTAGGATGTGTTTGTGCTAGCTCATCTGAATGGAATGGCACCCGGTGCCCAAGTCTCTGCTCTGCAGGCCACAGGCGGGGCAGACCCTGCACCTCGGCGATGGGAGCTCCAGAGGGCACAGACTTGGCTGACATGTTCCTCCGTGATGACCATGAAGACTGACCTCTGGCCAAACCTCAGCCTCGGAGCTCTGCAGCCCTGCCTTCCCCCGAGGAGGGTAAGCGTGGGAGGCTGCGCCAGCCATGCCTGGGCATGCACCCATAGGGACAAGAGCTGTAGATTTACAAAGTGAAAAATGCCCACTGTAGAAAACACGGGATAAACAGACATGGAGATGGAAAACAACCAGCTGAGTCAGGTGTGGTGGCTCACACCTGTAATCCCAGCACTCAAGAGGATGGAGAGTTTGGGGCCAGCCTGGCCTACATAGTGAGACCCTGTCTCAATAAACAAAAAACAAAGCAGCTGGGTGCCAATGGCTCACGCCTGTCATCCTAGGTACTCAGGAAGCTGAGATCTGAGGATCACAATTCAAAGCCGGCCTGGGCAGGAAAGTCGTGAAACTCTTACCTCCAATGAACCATCAGAAGCAGTCTTGTAGTTCAAGTGGTAGAGTGCTCACCTTGAGCTGAAGAGCTGAGGGAAAGCACTCAGGCCCCCAGTAGTTCAAGCCCCATGACCAACAAACAAAAAAAGCAACCACAAGTAGCGTTATGAAGTGGTAGAGGGCTAGCCTTGAGCAAAAAAGCTCAGAGAACAGTGTCCAGTCCCTGAGTTCAAGCCCCAGGACCAGCTCCAAAAGAAAAAACAAAAACAAAACAAAAAAAAACCCACAACAATAAAACAAGCAGGACTGGGAAGATGGCTCAGTGGTAGAGCACTTGCCTTGCATGCATGAGGCCCTGGGTTCGATTCCTCAGCACCACATAAGCAAAAAGAAAAAAGCCAGAAGTGGTGCTGTGGCTCAAGTGGTAGAGCGCTAGCCTTGAGCTGAAGAGCTGAGAGACAGTGCCAAGGCCCAGAGTTCAGGCCCCACAGCCGGATTCAAAAAAAGAAAAAAAGAAAGAAAACAAGGAAGTAATGTGACCTAGTCTGCAGGTGGGAGGCTTGTCACTGAAACGGGAGCCTTCTGGTAAGGCTGGAGAAACACAGGAGGGGCCGGCTGGCCTGTGGTGGGCTGTGGTGTGGCGGTGGCAAGCCAGAGTACAGGGACCCCGGGAATTGGGGGTCCCATGCTGACCCCTGCAACAGAACACACCTCCAGCCCTGCACCCCTCACAGAAGGGCCGTGGGGACAAATCATGGCATGCCAACACAGGCAAAACATGACTTACCCCACTGCTCCTCACCCGAGGCTGGGACTAACCCCGTCCCTCCCCAGCCTTTTGGGGAACATGAGTTGAGCTACTGGCCCAGCCTGGCCCAGGATTACCGCGGAGGATAGTGTCACTAAGAAGGGATGCAAGGGTCAGAGTGGGGGCTGGCCATCGGGGCTGAACTCGTGGAGATGCAGTTGCAGGAGTAGCAGGTTCTGGGTGTATTTTGAGGGTGAATGTTAGCATGCGATGAGTGACCCCCAAAACCCATGCCTGCAGCAAGCTGGCACCTAGCTCGCCTGGACAGAGCGTGGCGATGTCTCCTCGGGCCGAGGCCTCAGCCCTGGCACACATACACACACACACACACTCCTGAGCACGTGCCCCTCCCCCGGAACTCAGAGCAGCCCGGCGGGAAGCCAGCCTGTCCATGCACACGCTGCACACAGATGCACTGCGGTCTGTTCGCACAGTGGAAAGTTACTCAGCATGGAGAACAAACACACTCCTGGTGGGCACTCCACACCGTGCAGAAAAAGCTCAGAGACAGAACGTACAGATTACAGCAGACCACCAATAGCCAGTTTCCAACTAAAAATGATCTATGGCTGCACCCTAGGGCTCGGGCGGCAGTGGGTGGCTGGAAACACCAGGCTGTCATCCTCAACAGTGGGGCAGGCCCAGGGGTGCCCAGTCTGGTACCAGCTCACAGAGCCAGAGCTACTCTCCCACAAACAGCAGCAACCCTCCGCCCCCACAGAAGTAGGTCAGTGTACCACTGGTGTCCCAGTGCAGCAGCAGTTTAGATCGTGGGTGCCCAAGGCAAACACAAACCACATGATCTTGCAGACTCGTGGTGGCCACTCTGCTTCTCATAGTATTTTCCAAACCACAGCGTGGCAGGGACAGGCACCTACCACTTAGAGGCTGGCCTGGCTCCCCGCCAGCCAAGCCCATTCGTTCCATGGAAAAGGTGCAGGCCGCCAGGCCCGTCTGCGCCGTCAGCTGCCGGCGGATCTCAGGCTGGTTCGCACAGCCTGAGCGAGGGTACTCCTTGATGCAGCGCAGGGTGAATGGGCTGAGGATTTCCTGCCACAACCAACACGAGCCATCAGGCTTCAACCCAGGTGGGGAGCTGCCTCTACCTGGTCTCCTGTCTTCCAGAGAGCCCATTAGGACTAAGGGGCCCAGACGCTGAGCAGCCTGGTTCCAGGACACACACGGAGTGCACATGGGGTAAGGGGTGCGGCTCCCAGTACCCTGGGCCCTGAGCGAGCCAATGCCTGCTGGGCCAAGTAAGCACCTCCAAATACCCAAGATGAGCTTCTCAACTGCAAACCAGGTTTCAGCACATGGAGACCTCCAGGACTCAGGAGCAGACTTCAAAATAAAGTCCAAGAAAGAATGAGTAAGCTGCAGAAGACAAAGAGAGTCTGCATAGCCAGCAGACATCAGGGGGTTAGGGTTGAGGAACTGGATTCCAGTGGCCGCTGAGGACAGCAAGCTGAGTGAGCAAGCCACGCAAGAGGGTTCAACCCAAAACTCCAGCATCAGAGGGGACAACAAAAAGGAAGACAATCCGAGCGGCCACGAACATCACCCCACCACACAGTTTTTGATGGGGTCTGGCTTCCTAGAAATCAAGAATGGAAGAAGCTAGAAGAACCTGGGTCCCAAGTCTTCCCAATGTCCAGCTGATAGACTGAACACCAAGAGACACCAAGGAGCCAATGACATTTGTCTCCACAACACAGCTGTCATTGGCTCACGCAAATCGGCCGACTGCCACACACTACTGCTGAGGCTGGCTAACTTGGTCAAAGTGACTACACTCTGCTTTCTGCTACTAGACAGCAAGCAGTGTAGACGTCATTGCCAAAATGACGCCTTTGCTGACTGCAGACTTCCCACTCACACAGCCCCCATGGGAGACCACAGCCTTGTTGTCCACTGATAAATGAAAGCCAAAACCCCCGGGAGTCAATGTTACTCCTGTAGGACAGGGAGACCCCATGCCCTTACTGCTTTCTTGGCACAGATGAAGGTCATAATAAGCAGACAATCCTGAGACCTTGATCTCTACACCTTAGCATTCACTCACATAGAAGCTGCCCAAAAAGCTATGCCAAACTGAATGAAGGAAAATCATGTAGTCCTAAAACTGAAGATGGGGGTCAAGTTCCAAGTGTAAGGTAGCTGGCCTAGGGCCCAGGAACTGTGAGGATCACACAAACTAGACAATGTGACACAAATCACAAATGCAGTGTGCAGTATCTCAGGAATGGAGGAGCCCAGAGTTCACCTGGCTGGAATGATCCCAGTCTCTCCCCATGGGCCAGGTCACTTCAGGAACCAGGTGCTGCGATCCTTAAGTCTGGGCTGTTATCTTCTTGGTGTACTCTGTCATTGCTGAGCCAGCTTGGACAACAGGAAACCAAAATGCTCCAGTTTCACCCATCACACACAAGAGCTACACGGTGTGGGGACCACATGGCTGGCTGAGACGCCCCAACATACCATGGATCTAGCTAATCTCTGACCACTGGTGAGACTTGCAATCCTTCTAGAGATGTCCACAGTCAACCCCACCCTACTACAGCTTGCCACACTACTAGTGCAGCACCTGCAGATCAGGTCAGAAGCAGGAAGGTGTTCCCATCTGAGCACTCCGGAGGTGTTTCCCCATGCCCAGTAACTGCATCTTTGTTCTGGCTTCCAGGTGAGCCCACTCCTGAGGCTGCTTCTTCTACTCAGGGACACTGGGTAACAGTGCATGTCACAGCGGGGATGCGTGGGGGTCGGGTGGGATGGGCCATGAGTGTGGGAGGGATGTGACGCAGCTCTAGTGTAAAAAGCTGGCTAGTGCTGTTCTCAGCCAGGCGGGGGACACATGCCTGTCATCCCTGCATTGGGAGGCTGGGGCAGGAGGATCTCAAGGTGGAGACTGGCCTGGGCTACAATCACAAGACTCTCTCCTTTGCCTTCCCCCTCCCATAAACCGCCCCCCCCCCAAAAAAAAAGAATGAAGCTTACTCCATCTTTGGCTGTATTGCGGGTGTGGGCTGCTTCCCCCAAGTTAGGCAAAGCTGATTTGGAGTGACTCAACCAATTCAGAACAATTACAACTGGGTAAGTAGGATAGGTGCATGACACCAGAACTAGAACTCTACAAAATAAGCTTTGGTGCCACAAAGAAGTGACTAGAAACACCAAATGGGAAAGGAAGCGCCTGAGCAAAGGCTCTCCCCAGTGAGCGGGCCTGAGCGAGCACCAGCAGCGTGGCTGGGGCTCCGCAGACACCCCTGCTCCGGCTAGGAGCTGCCAGGGCAGCAGGGGTACTGAGAAGCCATGGCAGCAAGCCTCGAGTATAACTCAGCCTTGACTGCATTAGGCCAAGGAGGGAGATCTCCCTCTGGGAACTGAGGACTCCAATTTCACTTCCCCACAGGGCTGGACTCCTTTGCCAAGGACGTTTGGGCACAGTGCCAGCTCAGTGCCCACACCCACCAGGCTGGTAACTGCAGCACTTACCATCGCCCCGAGGTCCCCAGGAACGGCACTCACATCCCAAGACACCACACAGTTTTAAACCAACTTTGTGATTTTTATTGATGGGCGACAACTTTAGTTCCTAGGCATCACTACACTGGGCACAATTGGGGACGCGGCGTCAGGAGCAGACAGCAGACTTGGGAGACGTCAGCCTTCAGCACTGTGGCCGCATGGCACCGGAGGCACACAGAAGCATCATTCTGAAACCCTTCAGTGGCAATAAAGTTCCCATCACCCATCTACGTCCACTAATACCTTAAAACTCCAAATATCTGATCTGCACGGTACACGTGAGCGAGTCTCACTGCGGTTATTACGGTACTTCTCCTGTGAGGGTCCAGCAGTGGGGTTTTTGTTTTGTCTATTTTCTGTCTGAAGTAAGAACTATTTCTTCTCTGATAACTGGCTCATTTTTATCATTTATCAAAAACTAAAGGGTAGGGGAAGGAAGTGTGATGGATTAAAAAATTTAATTTCTTAAGGAAAGATAAAATTCATTTTCACAAATTTACAAGTGTTGCTGGTGCAGGATTTATTCTACTAAGCAATTAAACTGGGATCAAATGCGAGTTCCTTTATCTCAGGAATCGGCGTTATTCACAAATACGGGTGTTGTGGATTTTCTTAAATCAAAGACAGTCTGTTTCAACCAAATGATTTTGATTTGGAAGGTGGAGGTCAACATAAACTAGGCTGCACAAACCCAAGCATCTCCTCTTCATTCTAGCCCATTTTTGCAAGAGGGAGAAAGTTTCTCTCTAAGGAGCCACTACAAGGCAGGAAGTTAGTGAGAGTTAATGGCCTACAAAGCGGCATCAGGCACGCACGCACGCACGCACGCACGGACGCACACACACACGCACACAGGGGTCACAGCAGGTCCACGCGGCGGTAATACAGGAGGTAGGCTGTGCGCTCAGCAGTCGGCTTCACCACCTGGTACTGGTTAATCACCTTGACCATCTGGTCATCGATGCGCAGCCAGCCATTAAGCCCGATCTGGAAGACGTCGGTAGTGTAATGCCCACCCGTGGCGCTGTTGCCATGGTGATAGACCACTGAAAGAGAGTGCCAAGCAGGCTTTATGAAAAAGACACCCCCGCCCGCCTCGGGCTGACGCTTGCTCAGACTTCAAAGCAGCCCTTTGTGAGGCTGTGCTCACACCAGGATCGGCTCGGGGCCCAGGTGACACCCTGTCTGTTTTGGGGCCCCAGGTTTCAGGTAAAACCCACATTCTCAAATGCGTTCAGGAACTACAAGCTCCCCAGGGATCCCCTTACGGAGCCAGCAAGCCAGCTTGCAGCAAGTGGTGTTCCACTGAGCTGTCTGGCACAGCCATCGGCACTCATGGTCACTGCTTTTTGGGGAAGGAATATACAAATCCACTCACCTGCAAAGAGCCTATACGTTCTGTGGCATTTAAAATTCTTATTTTTAACCCCTGGAGAAAGCAGTTCTGAAAAACAAAACAACACTTAGGGTGAGTAACAAAAGCAACACCGGGTTGGGCACTGGTGGCTCATGCATAAAAACCTATTACTCAGGAGGCATCAATCTGAGGATTGGGGTTCAAAGCCAACCCAGGCAGGAAAATCCATGAGACTCTTTCCTCCAATCAGCCAGCAAAAAGCCAGAAGTGGAGGTATGGCTCAAGTAGTAGACTCTAGCCTTGAGTAAAAAAGCAAAGGGGTAAGGCCAAGGCCCAGGCCGAGTTCAAGCTCCCGGACTGGAACAAAGAGCTGGGCACCGGTGGCTCACACCTGTAATCCTAGCTACTCAGGAAGCTGAGATCTGAAGATCATGGCAGACCAAAAAGAGAGAGGGGGGGGGGGAACAGTGTCTCACTAGGTCAGCCACCTGGAGGGCAAGAACATAGGACATGCCAATCACCTCCTCAGCTCCTAGCAGAAAGGGAGCTATGTAGGGAGAACAGAGAGAATGGACAGGAGTGGCAGCCAGCCCGCTAAATAAGTATCAGCATTATATAGGATGCTGGGAGTTTCTCCTGCAAGCTCCTAAAACAGGGACTGAAAACTCCAGGAAATGGAAACAAGAGGTTTTTCTCTGTGCTGTTTTTTTTTTTTTTCCAGTTTTGCTTGTTCATTTATCTATCTTTGGAAGAGTAATGAGGGGCACAGAAATAGAGGAACAAGGGGTGAACAAATGCAGCAGCAGTGGTACTCACTAGACATGTTGAAAATTAACTATACAATTTGTGAGTTGGATGGAAGGGAAAAACTGGGAGAGCAGGAAGAGGTGGCACTGTCCAAAAATAAATGTACTCTACCTGACTTAAGTAACTGTAACCTCTTTGTACATCACCTTTTTTTTTT